TGGGTGGTGGTCCAGTGGATTTGGAGAAGATTTGGGTGCTAACAGAAAAAAATAGTGCAGAAAAAATTTATGCATTATTCTTATCAGACAACGAAGATATTACTAAAGTTTTGTAGATAAATTCATACATATGTAATATATATCATGCTATGGGTAACAATTAACTGTGATATGTTACAGATGTCGCCCACTTATGGGCTTGTGAAGGATATTACACCAAAGGACACCCACTGGGCATTGAGGTTGCGATTAGTTCGGATGTATGAAAATGTGAGTGATGAGGGAGCTGTTAGGGGTCTTGAATGTGTCTTCCATGATAGAGAGGTAACCAAAGACATACAAATATGTTTAAATTATTACAAAAATACATATCTAATTGATGTTGTTGTTTATTAATACTTAATAATTATTGAAAATACTTTAGGGACAGAGAATCCACGCCACCATCAAAAGCTTTCACACGCCACAATTTAAGGACGTCCTTAAAGAAGGTTTATTGTATAAGATTCGGCATTTCATGGTGGCGACTGATGGAAAAGACTACAAGACCACTACCAACAAATATAAGATCATCTTTTTTAAGAAAACGGAAGTTTTTGAGTTTGAAGATGCAACGTTTCCTAATGAGGTTTATAAGTTCAGACAATTTGAGACAATATTGTCCACAAAGATCTTGAATGAGAAGGAAATGTTTGGTAAGCAACTCCTTTATTTACTACATAATTAGTTTATATGAAGATGGCGAATAAAATTAAAATTTTGTTTTACATTAATCATATGTCTTATGCAGATGTGATATGCGTGGTTGTTGGCAAGTATGGTCTAAAGGAACTCACGTACAACAACCGTCCTCATAAGATTATGGAGATTGTTGTTTGTGATAACATGTACGTCAAACGTATATTAGATTAAAGAAACTTATTTGTTTGTTTATTATCCATTTAGTTATTCTAATAAATTTTTCCGTTTTTTTAAATCAAAGGATGAGACAACTACGATGCTCTTTATGGGATCAGTATGCCGACCAAATTTTACCATATATGGCAGACGATTATCCTGGACCTGTTATATTGATATTACAATTCTGCCGGGCCAAAATGTTTCAAGGTTGTAAATGTGAGGTCATATCTGTGTGTGGGTGTGTACAGTTTAAACATTAGGTATAAATTATGTATTGTTATTATTGTACAGGTGAGCCGAAGTTGTGTAATTCCTTAAATATCACCAAGCTTATTGTGAACGGAGATGGTGTGGAATTCCAGAATTTTAAGGATAGGTTGGTAGTATACTACGTATATGTTTTCCGAAAGATAATAATAAGACCTTATATTTTTTTTAAAATGTAATAACATTGTGTGACTTTTGGGCATATATAGCATTGTTGATAGGACTGCTTTGTCACAAACAATTACCACTCTTTCGGCCGCTTATAAACCGCCATTGAGTATCCTTGATGAACTAAATAGCTTGGTTATGCCTTTGAAAAAAATCGAGCATCTTTATGAGACTAAGGAGGTTTGTTCTAATTTTGCCAATTCAGTATTTGACTTCTATATATGAATTTTGATCTTATTAAAATTAACTTATAATTTAATACTTTGTTTATTTCACAGGCGGGAAGTTTCTGGATCTACGCGAAAGTTGTTGAGATAGAAAATGAAAATGATTGGTGGTATCTTGCATGCAGTAGATGCTCCAAGAAGTTGGAAAAATCCCATGCCAATTTTTATTGTACCAAGTGTGCTAGGGTTTGTACCGAAGGTGTTACAAGGTAGGTTGTGAATTTTTATTTATAAGATTACTCCCCATCCGAGACTGATATTTTTTAAATTGTAGATATAAGGTTGTGGTGCGTGTAGTTGACTCTACTGGGAACGCGCCTTTTCTTATTTTTGATCGTGTTGGACAAGAATTATTTGGAAGACAAGCAATAGACTGTAGAGACATGCTTATGAGTGTAAGTTCATTTGAAATTGATTTAGAGGAAATTATCACATACTTTTAAACTAATTAATTTTGAATTCCTTAGAATGACCGAAATGATAATTTTCTTCCGGTTGAGTTTGAAGCAATCATCGATGAGAATATTTTGTTCAAAGTACAAGTCAAAGAAGAACAAATTGGCAACTATAATTCCGCATTTGCAGTTCTGCGATTCACCAGAGATGCTTCACTTATTGACCAGTTCGTTTCGAATAAAAATGAGGACCACAAAGTATGTTCCGTTATTATTATTTTGTTTATGTCTACAATTTTGTTGATTCTCTAAAACATGTACAAGAGAATATATTTAAGCTTCTTTCATGTTTAGGAATCTGAGGCATTTTCCCAGCTCCAGAATGCTGCACTTTCGTGTGAAAAGGTATGACCAATTGTTTCACTTTGATGGATTTGAAAAAAAAAATATAATTTCAATCTCAATTTGTGTCACTAAATAATAATTTTTTGGAGCTTATATTAGATTTTTATAATTTGTGTGACAGTTATTAAGTATTTTACAAAAAAATCTGTTTTTTTTAGGTTGAGTCTTTTCTGGATGATGAGATTTTAACTCCGATCAAGAGGAAGGACAATACTGAGACATCAAGCGATAATCAAGAATCTGTGAAAAGACGGCTACTTGGCGAGTTCTCTTCCAACGCTTCATCTAAGAAATCAAGAGTTGTGATAAAACAAGAGAAGTAGAAAGGCGGGATTTCAGAAAAAAAAAATGGAGATTTCTTTTGCTTTTAAGATCTACATGTTCTGTGAAAGATGTTTTTGAAGACTATTTTAGCTTTATTTTGCCGTTTTTGCGGATTATGTTTTAATTTCAAAACTCAAGATATTTTGCTATGTTTTTGCTTATGTATTGGATGCTATGCGCGGTTTCAGTTATATGGATGATATATGATTTTCTGTCACTTTGATGTTTTATATTTCTAACGTTTTCTCTAGATGCTGTTGAATATTTGTTTTTGATGTCGTGTAAATATGTCTAGAACATCTTACAAAATAAGTAATAAGAAAGGACGATATCTAAGTAAACGTGTATATTTATAATGTTAAGATAACCATTTAAAATTTCTGATCTATAAACATATTCTTTGAAAGAAAGAAAAACTCATCATCTGAAACCATATCATATATTGATAATAATAGTTTATAGAATATTAAACGAAGTATATACTTCGTATATACTTTTGGTGCTTCGAATATCATAAAAAAATGCATTACTGATATTTTTATCAGTTACCATAAGCATTACTAAACTTTTGGTGCATTTATGATTTCGGTGTTTCCAGTAAAAAGGTTATGTGAGGCATGGGTCATGGGTGGAAGTCCCGTAGGTTTTAGTGGAGATTTCGGTTCTACCAGTAAAATAAATGTATCATTCTTATCAGCCGCCTAAAATATTACTATTAGGAAAAAAGATTACTGTTTAGGAAAAAGAATTGATTTTTTTTGCTCAAAATAGGATAAAAAGTTTTTGTAGATAAAGTGATCTTACTGTTAGGAAGCTGATAAATTATTGAGATATATTTGATTAATTATTTTCATTTTTTTTAGGAAAAATTGGAAATAATAATCCCAACTATTGGTGGTCCACCGATAATAATCCTAACTATGGATTATTTTTGTATAATCCCAACTATATAGACCGTCCGCCAATAATGGTCCATGACCAGATATTACCTCCTATAACAAGTGAATTTTAAATAGAAATTAAACGTAAAAATTAAACATTGGGATTATTTATAGGGATTACTTGCTATATCTCATCTCATCCACTTTAGAAAGTACAAGAATTTATTTATAGGGACCATTATTGGGATTATTCTGGAATAATCAATAGTTGGGATTATTATGAACGGACCGCCAATAGTTGGGATTATCACTATCAATTTTTCCTTTTTTTTATCGCGATTAATTATTTTCATTGAAACATGTACATAAGATTTTTTTCATTAAGCATACAATACAATTAATATGTGCCGGCCAAATATATGACTAATCAAAAAACTGCTCTGTCCCACGATTAATAGAAAGCTTTTGATTGTACAGGTTTCAAGATAAAGTTATTCACATCTTTAATGATATGAGCTAATTATTAATGAGCTTTGTTGTGATGGGTTCTCTAATAGATTGTGCGCTACATAATAGTACTACTCCGTATTATTCATTACGGATTTACGGGGCATTACTATGGAGAATAGTTCGCCAGTTATATCATGTGGGTTCACGAAAATAAAGAACTCATTATAAAGTTTAAGATAATTTTACAATTAAGTTTAACAGTTTTTTTTTACAATTAAGTTTAACACATAAGAAATTTTACGAAGCGATATAAGCTGTATCTAAAAAATATGTACTAAATAATAATAACAATATATAAAATAAGTACTAAAAAAAAGTATTAAAAACAACCAGTATCCAAGCAACGAAAAGTTACTCACTCCGTCCCTATTATATCTTCCAGATAGGTTTGGCACACAGTTTAAGATAGTGGGTATTGTGTGGTGGAAAGTTGTGCAGAGGAGGGAAAAATGTATAAAAATTGCTGTGAACCACAAATTCTGGCCAAAAAGGGAAAGTGAAAGTTTTAATCAGAACGGACGAAAAAGAAAAATTAGAAATTTATTTAGGGACGAAGAGAGTATTTTTTATTCTCTTTTTTTGGAACATTTTTTTCCCCTCTTGAAAACTGATAAGGTTTTCCTAAGCCACATAAATAAATTAATCATCACAGAGAATTGAAAAGGTGCCATGTCAACACAATCATTTCAACAATGAAGGCTGTAAAGTGGTGAATACCGAGACAATAATTTACAAGCTACATTGTTTAAATTATTTTAAATTAAACTCTGCATAGGAATTGAAAAGTCGAGATTGTTATGGTTAACTAAAAAGACAACCTTGATATTGACAACTTCATTAATGGAAACATGATAATCAATGTGATACCGGTATAAATCACATGCTAATCGCCCACAACACGTACACTAGCAAACGCTCACACACAATTCCCTTGCATCGATCAAGTGCTGTGTTGAAGTTTCTTATTAGTTTGTTCTTTCGCAGAGGTAACCATATACACCGTATCTTACTAAGTAGTTTTGTCTTCTTTAGTTTTTGAAAAATAAGTTAAACTACTTCAAATAGTAAATTGTATGCGCTAAATTATACGAAGTATACTAATTAAACTTATGAAAATTATTCTGAGATTGCCTGTTTCAAGAAACGCCGGAGTGAATAAAAATAATACTGTATGAGATATTATAATATGTTTTCTTTTGTAAACAGTTGCACTTTGACATAATTCTTGAAGGAAATATGTGAAGCCTGTTGAGTCAATCCCAACAAAATTTAATGAGACAGATTACAAAAAGTGGAATAATTACTGGAAAACGAGCTTCACAAGAAGTTACCACTTCAGGTAATATGAGTAATTTGATAATTATGTTAGTTTGTTACTATGTTAAATCAGTTTTGAAATATAATACCAACTTGGTTTGCGTTATTCGTGTTTAAGCTATATTATACCAGGGGCACTACACTGCTTTGCATCATATTGAGTTTTATATTATGGAATGTAATTTAAAAACGTGAGAAAAAACATGTCCTGTGAATGTGAAAAACACATGAACTTTCTAATTAGGTACAGTTCGAGTGTTCATGATTACAAGAATAAAGATATAAATTCCTCTAAATGAAAATACTCCATGTTATTTATATTAGAAGTTCAAATTAGTTTGTGTAAATCATGTTACTAAAAAACCTATATGTACCAAAATTATAAAAGATTTTTTTTATCATAATCAGGGAAATTATGAAAAAATTGGTTTGTGTATATCGTGTTATTAAAAATACATCCTAATCAATCATGTATAAACTTTACTGTTCAGAATTATAAAAAGAAAAAAAGGCAGCCTAATTTCGTAACAAGCTCTTATAAAAAAATCCGTATGTCTCCTAATAAAACGTTTATACCGAGGTTTTTTTAATAATGTTACCCTATTTTATGGCTAAAACTAAATTTTCTACTGAAAAATTCATCTCACAAAAAACAAGATATGTGAATTTAAGAAAAGCCAAAACCTTATCGAAAAAATATTCTTAAGTATATATTATGTATAGATATGTTTAATCTATAAAAAAATATGTTGATGTTTCAAACTTTGGCCCCTGCAATTTAAAATTTTTAAGGTTCGGCCCCTATAACTATAGACTTCTGGCTCCAAACCTAAATAATTGAGGTCAAATGCTTTGACGAAGACTCCAAACCTAAATAATTGTTTATAAAGTTCGGATTGGGATAATTTTTTATCTAATAGGTCACGTGTTATGCTTTGGACTTCAATTTTTCAGCTCATTTTTAAATCATAGTCGTGCTTTAAACGTTATTCTTTTTTTATCTAATAAATCTGTACACATTTATATAATTATTTATTTGGTGATTTATCATACGAATTTAAATTTAATTTATAGGTGAAACTTCGAATGTGGTGTTCAAAAAGCGTAGAACGAGTATCACTCCTCTAAGCGATGTCACTAACGGTAATTGAAAATCCTAAATGTCATTATATGCAACCACTTTACACCAAAATAAATGTGTTTTCGTTGTTTTAAATGTGCTTTGGATGATTTTTCAGAAAGTGTTCCATCGCCTTTGATCAAGCATAATGGACTCATAAGAACAAGTGATACACAATATACGTATGTTGGATATTCTTGGAATACAAGTGCCATTCAAACCTTAAGGATTCCTTCAACTGTGAACACTACTAATGGTAATTTATAGAAATAGTAGCCACTTATCATATACTATTTTAAATTTTCCTTTCATTATCTTAAATTTATTAATTATTTAATGATGTGTTTTCTATGCAGAAGAGTGTCATGATATAATGGATGTAGTTGAGGAAAGTCCCTTAAGGGAAAACAGAATTGACAAATTTGTTGGTAATTGTAATGGAGAAGTCGACGATTCAGGTATTTTATTAAATTCTCATTAATTTTGTTATTTGTTTTAATTTTAAATAAATTAGTAATTGCAAAAAAACTTTGTTATAAATAGCATTATTTCTAATTGTGCATCTATTTTTATAGATAAAGACGACGATAATGGATCAAAGAGTATTCCAAGTGGTATGTTGAGTTCATAATTATTCTAACTCTCTATTACTTTAAAAAAGAGCCTACAACACAACACTTATGTTTTTATAAATAATTTAATAGGTTATTTGAACTTTGGTGATCCTTCCTACTCATGCCAATTTTGTGGTGCTTTATTTTGGTACAATGAAAGAGTAGAAAGCAACTACAAAGCACAAAATCCGACATATTCTGGATGTTGCATGCAAGGGAAGATTAAACTTCCATTTATGAAAAAGCCACCACCAATTCTTGAAAATTTGTTTCTTGGAAAAGATCCAATTAGCAAGCATTTTTTAGAACATATTCGGTCATATAATAGCATGTTCTCATTTACGTCAATGGGTGGAAAGATTGACTCAACTCCAAACAGTGGTAATGGACCTCCGATTTTTAAGCTACATGGTCAAAACTTTCATCTAATCGGAAGTTTATTACCTGCTGATTCTAAGGTGCCAAAATTTGCACAACTATACATATATGACACCGAGAACGAAGTAACTAATAGAATTAATTCTGTCAGGTAAGTTTGTTGCATGGGTTCAACAATAATTTTTTATTTTTACTTAGTGTCTTCTTTATAGTTATAGTGTCTAAATTAATACTTTCGCAGGGATAAAGACGAGTCTCATAATTTGCATACACGAGTTGTTGAGGATCTCAAGAAGACCCTTGATGAAAATAATGTCTTGGTTAAATCATTTAGAATAGCAGGCCAAAAAATACACAATGAGGGTTGTAAAAATTTTAAGTTACGGCTAATAGGAAGAAGATCGGGAGATCCAAGAACATACAACCTTCCTTCAGTGTCTGAAGTTGCTGCTTTGGTTGTTGGGGATTTTGATTTATCACTTGGAGAAAGAGATATTGTGGTGGAAACGTGTTCTGGACGGTTGCAGCGAATCAATGAATTGCATCCCTCATATTTGGCCCTGCAATATCCACTACTTTTTCCATACGGAGAGGATGGTTTTAGAGAAGACATACCCTTTTCTAATAAAAAGGGTGACCCATCTCGAGGGAGGCAAAAAATTAGTATAAGGGAGTTTATTGCATATCGATTGCATGAAAGATTATCCGAGTTTTCCACTATTTTGCGTGCTAAGAGACTTTTCCAGCAATTTGTTGTAGATTCATACACTTTAATTGAATCAAGTCGGTTAAGATATGTTCGCACACATCAAAAACAGTTGAGGTGTGAAATGTATAAAGGTTTGACAGATGCTTTATTACGTGGTGATATAAATCCAGCCACACAGGGGAAGCGGATAGTTTTGCCATCTTCTTTCACAGGAGGAGCTAGATATATGATTCAAAACTATCAGGATGCAATGGCAATATGCAGATGGATAGGTTATCCGAATTTGTTCATAACTTTCACGTGTAACCCTAAATGGCCAGAGATTGTTAGGTTTGTTGAACAAAGAAATCTAAAGCCAGAAGATCGACCAGATATCATTTGTAGAGTATTTAAGATGAAGCTTGATGCCCTTCTCAATGACTTTCGTTGCAAGAAAGTTTTTGGCACAGTTAAAGCAGGTATTTATAAACACAAATTTTCCATTATAAATAAATAAATATTTTCACTTTAATTTTTAAACATAACTTGATATTAACTTATTATCATATTTTGTAGTCATATACACTATTGAGTTCCAGAAGCGTGGATTGCCTCATGCCCATATATTACTATTCTTGGACAAAAGCGAAAAAATTGCAACAACAGATCATATAGACTCCATCATATCAGCAGAGATTCCGTGTAAAAAAAGTGATCCTGAGTATTACAATGCAGTGAAAGAGTACATGATGCATGGTCCGTGTGGAGATGATAGGAAAAACTCCCCTTGCATGGTCGATGGTCATTGTTCAAAACATTTTCCAAAAAGGTTTGTTGATCAAACTACAGTGGATGATGATGGCTATCCAGTTTATAGGCGAAGACATGATGAGAGAGTGATACGAAAAAATGGTGCACTTCTAGACAACCGCTATGTTGTTCCACATAATAGATATTTGTTGCTCAAATACGCCGCACATATGAACGTGGAGTGGTGTAATCAGTCCAGGTCTATCAAGTATTTATTTAAATACGTGAATAAGGGCAATGATCGAGTGACGGCGACTTTTTACCAAAGTGGCAACGGAGATGTCAATAACAATGTTGACGAGGTTAACATGTACTATGATTGCAGATATGTCTCCCCGTGTGAAGCTGTATGGAGGTCATTGGGTTATGAGATCCAATATAGAAGCATTCCAGTGGAGAGATTAAGCTTCCATCTACCAAATCAACAAAACGTTTATTTCAATGATTCTGATCCAATAGATGAAGTTCTTCAACGAGAGACAGTGAAAGAAAGTATGTTTCTTGCATGGTTTAGAGCAAACCAAGTTTACCCTGAAGCAAGAGAGTTAACCTACGTAGAAATGCCAATGAAATTTGTGTGGAAACAATCTACAAGGGAATGGGTGCCTAGAAAGAAAGGGTTTGCAATTGGAAGGATGTTTTATGTGCCTCCTGGATGCGGTGACTTATTTTACCTTAGGTGTCTTCTTAATGTTGTGCGGGGTCCAATGTGTTTCGAAGACATCTTGAATATAGATGGTGTACGATATTATTCTTATCGTGATGCCTGTTATGCACTTGGATTGCTAAAGGATGATAAAGAGTACATTGATGCAATCGTTGAGGCAAGTTATTGGGCAACTCCACGCTCTTTACGTAGATTGTTTGTTGCGCTTTTGGTAGCTGATTGTTTGACTAAGCCAGAAGAAGTTTGGAATAAGTGTTGGACTTATTTGTCTGATGACATCCTTTATAACCAACGCTTAATGCTCAATCATCCAGGTAATTTCCCCCCTTTTTAAGTTAAACTATTGTTTCTAGAATGTTTTGCTAATTATGATGATGGTTGTTTTTATTTATAGGACTAATTTTGAGTGAGGATGAAATAAAAAATTACACTTTGTGGGAACTTCAAAACATGTTGCGAAGCCGTGGGAGGAGTTTAGATGAATACGATTCGATGCCGATGCCAGATGCTCAATTCTTACCCAACAATAGAAATCGATTGTTGTTTGATGAACTAAATTATGATCGACATTTGTTGGTTGAGGAACACAAGAAATTACTCAAAAGTCTTACTGCTGAACAAAGCATTGTTTATAACACCATAGTGGAGGCAATTAATTCAGACAAAGGTGGTGTATTCTTTGTTTATGGATACGGAGGAACAGGGAAAACCTTCGTATGGAAAACTCTTTCAGCAGCTTTACGATCTAAAGGCGAGATTGTCTTAAACGTTGCATCCAGTGGTATCGCATCACTTCTTTTACCTGGTGGACGAACGGCACATTCTCGGTTCAAAATACCAATCAATCCAACTGAAGATTCCACGTGCAATATTAGGCAAGGGAGTGCTTTAGCTGAGCTTATAATTAAAAGTAAGCTTATAATTTGGGATGAAGCCCCAATGGTTCACAAACATTGCTTTGAGGCTTTAGATCGCACCCTTCGTGATATAATGCGCTTCACAAACCCAATGAGTTTACATATACCATTTGGTGGAAAGACAGTAGTGTTTGGGGGAGATTTCAGGCAGATTCTTCCTGTTATACCAAAAGCAACCAGACAAGATATAGTAAATGCGGCCATAAATTCTTCCTATTTGTGGGAATTTGTCAAGGTCTTGAGGTTGACTCAAAATATGAGGCTCCTTCATCGAGAACTTGGTGAACCACCCGAGGATTTAATCTCTTTTATTAAGTGGATCACTGATGTTGGTGATGGTATTATTGGGGGTATAAATGATGGTTGTGCAGAGATAGAAATTCCTGAGGATCTTTTGGTGAAAGGGTATGATGATCCAATTGCATCAATTGTGGAAAGCACTTATCCTGAATATGCAAGCATGGGTGCCGATCCCAGTTATTTAGAAAAAAGAGCAATTTTAGCGCCGACACTTGATGCTGTTGATGTTGTCAACGAATATATGCTTAGATTGAATGGTGCTGAGTTGAGAACGTATCTTAGTTCAGATAGTGCATGTCCATCAGATGCAAATCTCGATTTTTTGGCTGACATTCATACTCCTGAATTTTTGAATGGAATAAAGGCATCCGGTGTTCCAAATCATAAATTACTTCTCAAAGTTGGGACACCAGTTATGTTGATGAGAAACATTGACCACTCAATGGGTTTATGCAATGGAACAAGAATGGTGATTACAAGACTTGGCAATCATATTTTGGAAGCAAAAGTTCTAACAGGCATAAGTGCAGGTGAAAAGGTATTAATACCAAGAATGTCTTTGACTCCCTCAGATGTCAGATTGCCTTTCAAATTTCAGAGACGACAATATCCTTTAATTGTGTCATATGCTATGACCATTAACAAAAGTCAAGGGCAATCATTATCCAATGTTGGTCTATTCTTGCAAAAACCTGTTTTCAGTCATGGCCAGTTATATGTTGCTCTTTCACGTGTTACCGATCGCACTGGGTTGAAAATCCTTATACGTGACAAGGATGATAAAGACACTAATGTAACAAAAAATGTTGTATATAAGGAAGTGTTTCAGAATTTGAAATAAATTTAATATTTCACATGTTTAATTATATTCTTTACTTAATTAAATTTATCTTTGATTAGTTTTTATACATTGGAATTGCATACCCCGTGCATCGCACGGGTACTATACTAGTTGCTTTCAAAAAAAAGGAAAAAAATCCTAATATGCCTGAATCCGTTACGAATGACGGAGGGCTTCCCTAAATCCTAATACGCCTGAATGCCTCATTATTATTCTCGAAGTCACGGGAAGAACCGTAGAACCTCATCGAACATTCTGATATGTTCTTTTATCTGTCAATAAATCCTATCTTCTGTGCTTTCTCAAACTCAAACCGATTCATCATCTAGTTCTGGAGACCACGCTTTCCGATTGTAGAACTTCAGTAACCTGCAAATCTCTCGTTCCATCATCGCCGGCGTTGATCGAAGATGAGCACGGTTGTAGACGCGATATCTCAGCTCCTCAACATCCCCGGAGCACTCGACAGAATGATATCGCAGGAGGGCGGCGAGAACAGGGGAGCCGGCAACATTCCGGCCGACATTCTCGAAACCCCGAAGGAATACATTTTCCACCTAGATGTTCCCGGCTTGTCCAAATCCGACATTCAGGTACGCGCTATTTCGCTTTAAGTGTTGTTGTAATTGTGAATTAGGTTATCTGAGAAGTAATTGATGCTGGAATTCAGGTGGCCGTGGAAGGTGAAAACACGCTGGTGGTAAGAAGCAGTGGAAAAAGGAAGCGGGAGGATGGAAATGAGGAAGAAGGATGCAAGTATCTGAGGTTGGAGAGGAAGAAGACTCCGCAGAAGTTGATGAGGAAGTTCAGGTTGCCGGAGAATTGCAACGTGTCGGCCATCACCGCGAAGTGTGAGAACGGGGTGTTGACGGTGGTGGTGGAGAAGCTTCCTCCTCAGCCCAAGTCCAAGACGATTGAGGTTTCCATTTCCTGAATAGGCTGCTAGTTAGTTTTGTTACTGTTTCACTGCAGATGGCAATTACTAAGATGGATCAGCAAACTTGTCTCTGTTTTAGTTCCATTGTTACAGATTTTGTGGATGATAATGAGTAGTATGTTGGTTGGTTCAATGGTTCTCCGATAGTCTTTTCTTCTCATTTACAATTTAAGATTTGCTTGTTTTCACAGCAATTTAAGTTTTTTTAAAGATTCAGTGTGGGTGGATATGAGATGGCAGTAATTAGGGGTTTATACTCCGAGTCTAACAATTTGGGACTGCTATATTGCGTGAGAGAGTTGCAAAAAAAGAACCCTAACAATTTGGTCAATTTCTAACCAATAAAAACCAATAAAAACTGATAGGGTACACCGGTGTAGGTTATTTACAACCTACACCGAAGAAAAAACCAATAAAAACTGTCGGGGCTAATGTATTCCCAATGTTGAGCGTCTGTAACATGAAGCAGAGGGACTGGAAGATAGCCATCGACATCACACAGAACACATCAAAGACATAAAGAACGATTGAATTTGAGACCTATACAAGAGATAGTCTATCTCAACCGCTAATTGGGACGTTGGGCATGAAAATAGTAATTGGGTAGACGTGGGTGCTGCAAGTGGCTGGGGACTGAAACCCCGGAGATCCAATGTAGGCTGCTATAAACAAAGATGGCTAGACATAGTTGGACTAGATCCAATGGGGTCAGGCCGGGTTGGGCCTTTTGTGGTTGGGGGAAGGCCCGGGACTGGCCCGGTTTCCACCGGGTCCGGTTCGGGTCGGGCCTCGGGCCGGGTTGTAATTTTTTTTTTCTTTCCTAACTACCCTGACTCCCCCCACCCCCCAATAACATCAAGCCCAATCCGGGGAAACCCAAAAAAACTGAAAAAACAAAAAAAAAAAACAGTTTTGGCCCGAACCGGGCCCGACCGGGTCCCCATCTTTGCAGCCCGAGCCCGCCCCAGCTTAAGCCTTTCAAACCGGGTCAAGGACCGGTTTCGGACCCGAATCACCGGTCCGGTCCCGCACAGTAGCGGGCCGGGCCTGTTCTCGGGCCGGGTGGCTCGAACCGGGTCCATGCCTAGGTGAAACATACCCCTAAAAGTTTAGGGCCACGATCTGATGAGACAGTTGATACAAGATCATAGAAAGTGAATGAGGTTCTTTTTTTTAAGGGTGAATGAGGTTCTAATCTAAGTACTTTTGATACTTACCATTTTGTGAAGCGGACATGAAACGCGAGTCAATACAGTGTAGTACCTCGAGGACCTTTATTATGCTACCTTTATGTAGTACTCCCTCCGTCCCAGGGAGAAGTTCCCGGGTTGACTTTCACACATATTTAGGAAATAAAGTTATTGAAGGGTAAATTTTACTGTTTGGCACTGTTTCGACACTGTTTGGCACTGTTTCGACACTGTTTGGCACTGTTTCGACACTGTTTGGCACTGTTTTGCACTGTTTGACACTGTTTTGATGTAGGATAACTTTCCATTTAGGGAAATGGGAACTTTTTGTTGGGACTACCAAAAAAGGAAAGTGGGAACTTCTTCCTGGGACGGAGGGAGTATATCCAATACAATTGATCAAAACCGCCGTCGGGCAAGTAAAGGTTTGTCGAGATAAATCAATCTAGTCCCAACACTATTAAAAAACAATCAATTCTTCTATTTAGCCGGTTGAACAAAGCTATTGTCTGTTAAAGTGATATGGAAGTCCACGGTGCAATAAATTTTATTTTTTCCTTTTCTTTTCATTTGTTTTTTTTTCGTTTTTTATTTTCCAGCTGACTTTTTCTTCCTGGATGCGTCAACTAGTTCTTCCTGGGCGGCAGGCAAAGGTGGTTGAAGAAGGTGTTGCCGATGACTCGATGAGCGGAGGGCAGGGAATGATACGAGAGACGGGAAGCGCGCGCAAGTCTCGAGATGGTTGTGGGCAACTGGAGGCGAGAGATGGCCGTCGAGATCGAGGACGTTTTGGGCGAAGGTTGGTAACGACTACGTCGACTGGGTAAGTTATGGTTGTGGGTGATCCGTGGCAGATCGGTGGCGACGAGCACCGGCGGCGGTTGTGGAAGTCATGGTCGCCGGCGGTTGAGGGAGTTGTGTGTTAAGGAGGGATGCTCTAATTTGCTGGAAAGAAAGAAATGTGCACGAGCGAGAAGAACGAAGGGTGCAGGGAATAAGGTTGTTAACAATTCGAGTAGAGTCCGAACATTCAAAGCTCGAGTTCGGCTTGATAAGGAATTAGTGGTGTTCGGGTTCGAGCTCGAAGCTTAGCAAGCTTTACAAATGAGACTCGTGTTCGGCTCGATAGACAATTGATGTTCGAACCGAGCGCCGATAAGCTATACATATATGCCCGAATTTAAACTTTTAAGTGATGCTCGTTTATAGGCTCGTGCTCGTATGATTCGACAAGTATTCGATTCGTTAATAATCATATTTAAATTCATAAAATCATACTAATTATATTTAAATTTTGACATATATATTATATTAATATATAATTTAAGGGTGTTCGATAGACTCAAGTCCAAACCCAGCCGAATACTACTTTGTTCGAGCTCGGCTCGATTAATTTTTCGAACTTAAAACTCAGCTCTTGTTCGAGTTCGAAATTAAAGCTCGTTAAGCTCGGCTCGTTGGTTTGAAACCGAGTTCAAACTCGAATAGTTCGATAAAAGCTCGGTTCGTTAACAGCCCTAGCAAGGAAGAAGAAATGGTCGGCGAGGAAGAGAGAAAAAGGAAAAAGGGGGGGGGGGGGGCTCGTGGAATGCCCGTGTGTATGCCTACTGGTTGACCGGATCTCAACTGGCTAAATGGCCAATTTGACTGTTTTTTAATATTTCGAGGACTGAATAGATTCAATATAAAGTATAAGGGTCTAATTGATTTTTTGTAATAGTACGAGGACTTATTTAACAGTTTACTCTTTATTTTACTACTAGTACATACTTTATTGTTAGTAAGAATGATGCACAAAGTTTCACCTTTTTACTATTACAAATGAAAGTGTAAAATATTGTACGTCTAATCTTTTGTGAGGATGGTAAATTTAAAATTGATATGCTTTATTTTACATGATAAGCTATGTCGCAGGGAAACGCGAAAGTCTTGAGGAAACGGTAAACGAGAAACGTCGATTTTTGCTCAAAAAATGCTTGTTTAGAGAGTTTAAAAGGGTTTTCGTAGAGTTTCCGTAACGGAAACGTGCACTTCCTCGAGAGTTTCAATGCTACATAAATGACAAGGGTACAAGAATGAAGTTCATATAATAAATTAAGAGGCTGTTTGGTAGACCAAAAATGGGCTGATCAGCCTTAAAGTGGAAAAAAAAATGCCAAACACCTGTTCGTTGGGCTGTTGTGGCTGATTTTCCTTATCAGATGAAAAAACAAGCTCCCCCTTACTTTTTGGGCTGAAAACTATTATTTTACTGTTAGCTATTGCAAAGACCCCTATGCCCCTGTATTATATCTGGAAACTGGCTCTAATCATTCGCTTGTTTTCACTGGTTGGGCAACTATAGAATAGGCAGGATGCGGACTGGTTTTCTGAGTTTATTGTCGACGACAAAACAAGAAAACATCCCTATTTTAAAGTACATAAACAGAAAGAAAAACGAATTCAAATTATAAAATCCTTGTTAAAGAACACAACTTCTGGATTTCTAGCTAGTAAAAACAATGCGGAGTATATCAAAATGTTCATAGTAAGGATAAGATTAGTCCTGGATGTTTAAGGGCATCTGGGCATGGAATCAACGAATGTTGGAGGTTGGAGATAGAATGGTCATCTGGTCCTTCGACACTTCAATCGACAAATGGGAATCGCTGATGGCAGAGTAATTTATATTCTTAGATCTAACAAAACAAACTAATACCCTTTTTGGTAATTTTACATTTAAACAGCCATATCAGCCAATATATCACCAAACACTTTCACTTCAGCAGATTCAGCCATTTCAGCAAATTCAGCCATTTCAGCCGTTAAAGCCGTTACCAAACAGGGCCTAAAACTTTTAATTACAGGTTAGCATTGAGAGAATTGGTTAACTCATAATACTCTTTCACTTCTCCAAACTTCTTAATCCTACTTTTGCACTCTTAAGTTATTTTACTCCATTTAGAAACTTCAAAAATTTAACCATAACTAGTTCTTTAACATAAGGTGATGGATTGAAGTCCAAGGGTATGTATGGTACTGGGTTCCCCAATCCCCAAAATTTGCCAAAACCACACGCCCTATATATGGGCTATTACAAGTTTTTTTTAAGCATGGGCACAAGTTAAGGTACAAACTTGAAACTAGTGAAATTTAGTTCTACTTTCCGAAATAATGATGATATCAGATACGTTGACAGGAATGACTAGAGGTATATTTTGCTCCACACCCGTAACAAAAATGTTGTCCACACCTGCAAATAAAGAATCACTCATTCTCTAAACAATTCAAATAATAAACATATACGCTCAAAAAGAAAGATTTGGTTTGAGGCCAGGTTTTCAATAGATAAAACGTAAGACCAAGTTTTGATTTGAGTTCGGGTTCCCAATATATACAAAATGAGATTAGGAGCCCGTTTGGTAGCACGAAAATCGGCTGATTTGGCTGATTCTGATGAAATTTATGAAGTTCTGGCTCAAGTGGCTGCATTGGTTGATTTCGTTGATTTAAGAATAAATTATTTTTAAAATACTATCGTACATTTTATTAATAAAGTAAAGAAAAAATTATATGTAAAAATAGTTAAAATGGTCATCTACAATAACTTCGGCCAATACAGCCAGAAAATATAAGCTTATAGGTTTCACAAAGAGGAAGGAGAAGACTCCTCTCAAAAGATGTATATATAGTCGTACACTACTCTCACTCAGAAGGAGAGTCAACCCTTTTAATAGAGAGAAAAAGATGCCTTACAAATCAAATAAGTCAGAGGTCAACCGAAGACAAACAAATGGTGTTAAGACCCGAGGTTCCATCCTAAAAGGTCAACCTGATATGAGGAGTAATCCAAAGTCTTATAGTATTTAATGGTTTTATATCTTTCCGGTGTGGGACAAATGCTTCAACACGTCCCCTCAGCCCGAATCGGGCTGGACAATATCGGGGTGTATAATCGGACCAAACAAACCCTTAACAAGCTACCCTTAATCATGAGTGCTAAATAAGCCGTCAAACCACAACTGCAATTGACTCTGATACCATGTTAAGACCCGGGGTTCCATCCTAAAAGGTCAAGCTGATAGGAGGAGTAATCCAAAGCCTTATAGTATTTAATGATTTTATATCTTTCCAGTGTGGGACAAATGCTTCAACAAATGGGGAGCCCAATTCCTAGCATGGAGCAGGTCAACAAAGGGCAACGCCAAAAGGTCATGTCAGTTATGATACCCTCCAAATATTACACATATCATTGTACATATAAACTACTCTATACATAATTTAATTATGGACCAATAATTATAATATTGGAATTGAGGCATTTAAATATGAAAATATAAATAAATGATGAAGAGTTTTTTTCCACATAAATGCTAAAAAATAAAGTATTTACAAAAATAGGGTATGGTTAAAACAATTTACGAAACTACTGCTGGAAACTAATTATAGTTGGCAGAGTAGCCAAATGAAAGGGCGACTTACGCTAAACTAGGGACGGAAGAACGGTCGTTGCACGGGAGGGGTGCCGGGTGGGATCTAAGTAAAAAAGAAAAACCCCTTTTTTGTTTAAAGTGCTATATCTTTTACAATTTTGCTCCAATTTTTTTAAAAAATATACCAAATTTCATAACTTTTTACGATCTTTCATATGACACCAATATTGGATATATAAAATAAAATAAAAATCTGAAGCACATATGAGGGTGAATAAATTTAAGAAGCAATATTTGTTTAAAAAATATGTTCGAATGGTTGGATTTTAAGAAAAGTCAAAAACTTAAAAGATGACCGCGCAAGTACTTTTTCATATAATGGAGAATGTTTTTATTTGAACTGTTTTTAGTCACAAATTAGACTAGATAGACCATACTTATAAAATATACAGATATCGGACACTTACCAGATCATACCATACCAGTTTAAATCACACCAAACTAGACTAGACTTCAACAGAACAAACCAAACCAACAAATTTCAGTCTAAGTAAAAACATCTCTAGGACCAACAATATATTTAGTAAACATATTTTGTAGCTTGAAATGAAAAAATTATTTAATACGGAGTATATGTAAACATAACAGTGATCTTAATTTTTGAATCTAAGGATGTTTTTACTTATTTAGATGAAATTTCTCAAAAATGTAAAATATATCTCTTACAATTTTGCTCTAAATATTTTAAAAAATATACCAAATTCCATTATTTTTTTATAAGCTTTCATGTGACACTAATATTACATGCATAAAGTTTAGAAAAATTGGAGACAGTATGGGTGAAAAGAGCAGTTCCCACCTTGCTCTGTCAATAAAAGTAATTCTAAATCATTATTATTTTAACAAAAATAGGAAAATCTAATTAGTAAACTTAGGTTCAAAATTTTTCATAAATAGATTCAAGTTTAAAAATTAAGATCTGATATTTGTTTTTACTTATTTTTTTAGACATGTTTTTCATCTTAAGCAAGATAAAAACTATATTTGGTGAGGCGCTAGATTGTATGGAAAAACATGATTGAGTGGGTATTATTTTTCATTTAATCTAGGACGTTATAAAATATTTTATATTATTGATCGAGTGGGAAAAACATGATTGAGCTAAAAATATTTTTAGCTTGAGAGATATAAACAAAACAGGCCAAAGCTGACTTCCATAGTTATAAAATACACAAGAAGACCATATATTTGCTCGATTAGACCAGCAAATATAAAATTTATGTAAAAACATCCTTAGATTCAAAAATTAAGATCTCACGGTTATGTTTACATATACTCCGTATTAAATAATTTTTTCATTTCATGCTACAAAATATGTTTGCTAAATATATTGTTGGTCCTAGAGATGTTTTTACTTGGACTAAAATTTGTTGGTTTGGTTTGTTCTTTTGAAGTCTGGACTAGTTTGATGTGATCTAAACTAGTATGGTATGGACTGGTAAGTGTCCGGTATCTGTATATTTTATAAGTATGGTCTATCTAGTCTAGTCTAATTTGTGACTGAAAACAGTTCAAGTAAAAACATTCTCGATTCTATGAAAAAGTACCCACTCGGTCATCTTTTAAGTTTCTGACTTGTCTTAAAATCCAACCATTCGAACATGTTTTTTAAACAAATATTGCTTCAATTTTTTTTTAATTTTATATATTCAATATTGGTGTCATATGAAAGATCGTAAAAAAATATAAAATTTGGTATATTTTTTTAAAAAAATTGGAGCAAAATTGTAAAAGATATAGCACTTTAAACAAAAAAGGGGTTTTTCTTTTTTACTTAGATCCCACCCAGCACCCCTCCTGTGCAACAACCGTTATTCCCTCCCTAGTTTAGGGTAAGTCGCCCTTTCATTTGGCGACTCTGCCAACTATAGTTAGTTTCTAGCAATACTTTCGTAAATTGTTTTAATCATACCCTATTTTCGTAAATACTTTATTTTTTAGCATTAATGTGGAAAAAACTCAATGAAATAATGATTCAAAACAAAAAAAAATGCAGGACAAATTAGATACCAATTTCAATGAGGGAGAAACACCGTTCCAACACCAAGGGCCCCACTTCCAGACCCATTGAGAGGTTGTAAGTGAAAGCAATTCAGTTAGTCCAATGTTGATACCAAATGAGTGAGAAGCAAAGTACTGCGGAGTATGTAATTGAATACCTGCAAGTAATGTGGAGACATCCATCTTTCTTTTCAACGTAAAACCTACAAAAAGGGCACCTCCTCCATTGCTTTTCCTTAGCCAAACCAAGCATCATCACATCATCTTTCCCTTTCTCATCCTCATTCAGCGCCTGATACTCCTCACAATCTATTCCGGCGTGCCACACCACCCGACACCGCGCACAGAACAACCTCCGGCACTCCGGGCACTCGGAGACCGTCACCTCCTCCTCCCCGTCGTCCACCATTATGGCCGAACAGTCCCTAAAAGGACAGTAAAATTTCTGTGAACCGAGTATCAGAGACTCGCAGATGGCGTCGTCCCAGCGCTCGAACACTTCCTTCGGGACGATGGAGCGGCAGAGGTGCGGGTCGATGAGTCTCCGGCAGGAGACGTCCGGGCACTTGACGGAGCTTATGTTTTCTTGAATCTTGACGGCGACGTGCCGGCCGATGCACTCCGTGCAGTACGAGTGCCTGCACGAGTTGCTCCGGAACATTTCCTCTCCGGGTTTCTTGTCCATGCAGATTCCGCAGAACGGCTCTGAAGATTCTCCGGTTTCCGATGATTGCTCGCCACTTTTTTTTGCATTTTTATCTGACGAGCCGGGGCGGATCCAGGAATCTTGGTTATACGAGGCTGAATATGTTAAATGAAATAAGGGTCAACTTTTGCACATTTGACAACACACATATTTGACGACCGTAAGTATATCTTAATATCGATCTATTAATTAATTAAAAAATATTAAAAATCAGATTTTGAAAATTGGTAATGAGATGAATTCAAAAACATTTTTTAAAAAAATAAATTTCATAAAATTATAGTGTAAAATGTAGTCAAAGTAGTTCATGTGAACAGTGTAAAAAGTCAACATGTTGCGATTAAAAAAAACGGAGCATTGAAATCGTTTTGGATTTTAACCTACCATAGCTTGTACATAGATACTCCCCTAGTGACGAGGCTGTGGAAGGGGCAACCGGAGAGATGACGACGGCGGAGGAGGAGACTAGAGCTTCCTGCAGTTGGAGTTCTTCTGCGTACTTCTCATCGGAAACGGGAAAGATTTCGTCGGCGTCGTAAAGGGCGGAGAAGTAGAAGTCATCTACGTAAGAATCTGAAGAAGCCATGCAGGTGATGCCCGCCGGCCGGCTGAACCGCCGGAGTCTTTAGTTTGAAGTTGAAAAGTGCATGCAAGAACTCTTGGACCGGTTAGTTATGAAGGGGTATATTAATCGAATTTACAAATAACCGCTGATTCCCAGTACTCAAATCATCAATGCACGTTTTTGGGTGATATAAACCGTCGTCCTGCCTCGAAAATTAATGCTTATGATTAATTAATTTGTTCTAAATCAGTAATGCTTATGAATGGGTCCTTTCAAGACTCAACATGTTGGATTTAAGAGCATCTCCAATGCTATAATGTGCACGGTGCACATGTGGCATGAGTGATAACCACGTAAATATTAGCAAATAAATTATCTCTCTCCTTATTTGAATGATTTTATACAATTTTGGTAAGTTTTTCCCTGCAATGTCGACACCAATGTCAACATCTACACGGTTTCCTTGACATTGTAGAGAAAAACTTGCCAAAACTGTATAAAATCATTCAAATAAGGAGAGAAATCATTTATTTACTAATATTTATGTGGCTATTTCTCATGCCACGTGTGCACCGTACACATTTTACCATTGGAGATGCTCTAAAAAAAAATCATGCACTTTTTTTTATAAGAGGTCATCCTCATACACTTAGAACGTGTTTGACATTTAACGGTTAGCGTATATCAAGTTATGTTAGTGGATTGTCAATAGCGGATTCAGTCAGCGGGTCTGACTAGCGGAATAAGTTGGCAGGTTGCTAAAGATGTTTGGTAATTAAATAATTTATCTGTTTGACCATAAAATTAGTAAAAAACGTCATTTTTCAAAACACTAACCCAAAACTCTTATATGCAGTGTTTTCATTTCAACGATTCCGTCAAAAAACGCTAGGACCGAGCATCTATTTATCTAATGGTGTTTTAATTTATTGAAAACACTATAAAGGGTCAAACCGCCATTTTTCAAACACCCCTTATTATGACATACAACATGCTCATATTTACAAATGGGTCACCATATATAACCACTTTCCTTGTTTATGCATGTCTATAATTTTTAAAATTGGTGTAAATTATACTCTTTATAGTTTTGCTCCATTTACCGTCATTTCGAATAGGTCATCTCGGACCCTACCTGAGTCCGAGAAGTCTGTTTATTTAATTGTTTTACCCAATGGCATAAGCAGGAGCTCAACTGGACGGTACATAGATTTAAAAAAAATAACACAATGTTTCACACCAATGTTTAAAGAATTTTCAAAATTGAAGTGAGAGAATAGAACTAATAAGTGACCACTCAAACTAACTTTCAACCCTAAAAAAGCTAGGGTGTTATCCTTTAAGAGGGACCTCTCAAAGACTCAAACTCATTCCACAAACCCCTTCCTCCTCTCATACTATGGCCGTATGGCGCATATTGGTATTAATAACTCAATTTCTTTTTATCAAACCAATTGACATGAAGTATCATACATCTTATCATGCACGTATACATATCAGGTATTCGTGACTTCGTGTGGATGTTAGTTATTTGATTAAATTCGTGTAAACTGATCCTACCAGCTATGTGCCAAGGGGTGTATAATATAAAGTCTAAAGAACTACTAGCTTAGTTTACTTTGAAGACACTTTGATACGATCATGTGAAGGGGTGGACAAAGTTCTCAAAACGGACTGGGGCTTGTCAATTTCCAATCCGGGACAGTGGCCGGAAAATGAGGTTCCGGATCGGAATCACGACAAGCTTAGCGGGAAAGATGTCTCGATCCAGTTCCTATCCCATTTTTTTGTTTTATTTTTGAATCAAAATTAAACCATCGAGTAGCTTGTAATCCTTGTATAAAGAGGTGCAGGCACCATTAAAAGCTGAAAGGATTAGAGAGGGGATGAATGACTTTAAATATATATTAAAAATTAATTAATACAGGATGAAACCGGGACCAGCAAGGGGACCTTAACCGGCTTGAAACTGAAAATACAGGACCTGGTCTCAGCCGCTCAGGCCTCCCTAATTTCTTTTTAGTGTCGGCCGGTTACAGTCATAGTTTAGTACTCAGCTTTAATACACTTCAGCGCCTACATAAACGAAAAAAACTGGAATTCTAAGATATTCAAACCACAGCAATCGCCAAAGAACTGAGCTAGCATTGTTATAAGAACAACTATAAGCTGCCATAAACGTATTGCAAATATACTAAAACTATATATACAAAATATTTACACACATCCCGCAATCATATCCATGACGCATCTATGATCCACATAATGACTTTGCATCACTTCTCATTTAGTGCCCCACTTGTAACCAAGTTGAAAGTGCTTCCAGAAGCAGATGAAGTGTTGAAAGCAGTTTGGATTTCACATTTAACCTTTTCCGAAAGCACTTGTCAGTAAGTAACCCTGCTTTTCAAATGCTCATTTGACAAAGTTAAATCCAAACACGCCCAACGGAAATGATACACTTTACGCTGGGGAGAGAGATCCTTGAGGAGTTATAGGAATCAAGAATATCCCATCAAAATCTTTTGATTTTTCTTCTTGAAAGTAGAAACACTACATTGTGGGCATATGTACTCTAACCCATCCGTCTTGGCATAATCCTTCATGGTGAAATATGAAGAATGAAATTATGTGAATGAATCATGTCAAAGTTGCACAAATGGCGCACAAAGAAGTATTACTATTATGATATTATTATTAGTTTATTGTAACAATTAGTATTTAGGACATTGATCGGAGCTTCGTAGAAATATTAACAAAAATGGGATTGTGTGGTTAGAGCATCTCCAATCTTGTACTTTCAACATTAAGAAACAATTGACAAATGGCAAAAATTGTATGGAATGTCAAGCCACATAAGGTGAGGGTGGAAGATTAATCGATTGAAAGTACAAAACCTTCTCCAATGCAATTCAAAATAAAGAAGTTACGTAGAAAGAAGTATTCTACAAATGCCACTTTCAAGTAGTAGTAATGGATAAAAATAAGAACCGTATTTTCCGCCTCTCCACAAACCCACGCTGCTCGTTTACAGTTTTCACCAAAATTCTGTTTTTTTTATAAATATCTTTCCAAATAGCTGACTCAGCCTTTCTAAATGGCTTTCTCAAATTCGAAATTGCGTTTGACACTTTCCTTGACACGTATGCACAACACCACGGTCTAAAGATTGCATTGGAGAAGGTTTTTTAATACGGCTTTCCATTTATATGGTGTGGCATATACTTTTTAATGTTGAAAGTGGAGCATTAGAGATGCTCTTAGTGTGAGACAAACATTTTAGGACGGCATAAAAAAGAAAGATGTGATAAACGAAAAGGGATGGAAGGAGTATTTAATAAAATTGGTATTAGTGTCAAGTACTCGTAATATTAGTACTCCTCTTCATATTACAACTGTCGTTTCCTGATTAAGTTTTAGTCATTTTCTTGTTTCCTGATTAAGCGTTATGTACCCATTAAAAAACTAATTTTGGAGAATTAATTATTGTGTGTGTTAGTCAAACTCCAATTAATTCCACATTTAGCATAGATCCAAAATACTCTTTCATTCTTTTCACTCGACCTTAGACAGGAAACCCTACCAAGCTCATATAGCACGAACTTAACCTTGTATTGCTTTAAAAGAAACCAGATTCATCATACTACGTTTATTATAAGTGAATTATTTAATTAATTACCTTAAAGGCACCAAGACCAGGCCTTCGATCACAGCCGAAATGTGCCCATTCGCTGCATATCCCACAATTAACCCAATCGCCTGCAGCACCACTGTAGAAGAAGAGCCACAATGCAGTGTTAAGGAAACATTAAACAGATTAGTAAGATCTATGACTGAAAACAATGCATAGCATGTATGAAATTTATGACCTGTGACACATCAAGCAGCATTCGCCATCTACATCGTCATGTGCCAACTCGTACTCCAGAAGGTATGTTTCATAATGTCTTTTCAGTGTATTTCCAACTCCCTGATTCAAGGATCAACATGAAAAACAAAAATAACTAGTGTTACCTTGGCGTTTATTTTATCTTTGTTACAGGAGAGAGGGGAGAGGATAGGAAACATTTAGAGCTTACCGTCATTCTATTGGTCACACTGTGATTGCGCATCTTTGAGAAAATTTGACCTTTCCAATTGATGCCATTGCCAACATGAAATCCCCCTCTAGTAACAACCTGCATGGATAAATTTCACATACAATAATGACAACAAATATGCCAACAAGTTCGAGCTGACAAGGGAAAAAAACTATCAATAAATAAGAGTACTACCACTTAAGGGTGTGATTGAACAAACGTCAAATTCCTATTTAGAGACATGAAAACCTTACCTCCCTATATAAGTTGAAGAGATCAAGACGCCTGGCATTGAGTACTGCATCTGGAAACTCAGCAAGTCCACCTTGAGGAATAAGACGAATATGCCCACGCAGTTTAAGAAATTGCATTACATCCTGAAGGAATTCTTCCTGCAAGAGAAGTGTTGAGTTTTTTTTCTTTTAAGGTGAGTTTAAGCCCAATTTAATATGGTATCAAAGTGTGGTCTGATTGTTTGTTTGGCACCACGGGTTTGGATTAGCCTGTTTGGGGTCGGTTTGACCCATTTATCCACTGCTCGGGATGTCTTGTCCGTTTGGGCTGAGAGAGCATGTAAAAGTACCCCTCATTGGACGTTTACGAGATCTATATAATCAATTGATGTGTGTAAAACCTCACTCTTGAGGATCTTCTTAGGGAAACTTAGGCGAAATTTAATTACAATATAAGGACATGAAAATGAGGAAAAACAGCTAATGTGAAAAACAAGTTTTGCTTACCTCAGAGCAGACATGTATTGGGCTTCTATCACATCCATGTTTTTTCAGAGGAAGGGGATTCAAAGATATCATTTTCTTAGCCTTTTGAAAGCTTGAGACTGCTTTAAGTGGGGTAGCAGCTGCTGCTCCAAAATTACTTGCTGGGTTTGATGTCTGGATGCCTGGAAAATTACCAAGTTGCCCTTCTGCTTCCAAGATCCCAGAAAAGTGAAAAACCTTTTGGCGGCGAGAATTAGGGATGGGCTTAAGTGCTTCAGCTCTCGGTTTTTTCCTATCAAGCTTCCAAGGCCTTTTAATACACACTTGATGCTGCCCAGTAAGGCCATCAGAAGTTAAAACTTTTCTGCTTGGAGGTGGAGGTTTTAACCAGGCTGGAGTTGTGTCGATCTTCTTAGCATTGTTGGGATCTCCTCCGCTTGTCTTGCCCTGTGTTTTGCAGAAGAAAAGAAGTCTTTCTGCATCTTCTTTTTCAAATGAAGCTACCGCTAATCCCTGAATGCTGGCAATACCAAGTGCTGCAAAACTATGAAATGAACAGTCGTATGCTAGCTGCCTCAAAACCTAAAAAGGAAAAATAAGAAATGTGATAATAAATCTTTATTATACTCTACCTAATGGTTGCTAAATCAGGATTCTTCTTCTTATGAATAAGCACCTTTTGACTTTGTTTGGATGAAATGAACATTACAAAACACTTTCCCTGATATGAACTTTAGCAGATTCAGTTATTTAATTTCAGCAAAAGACACATACAGGTGATATAGCAATACCAAAAATAGCAACTTGTAATGATGCTCCCAAGGGCCTCAATTTAATCCTATTACAACTTGCCTAATAGTGCTAACATGCGAAGTTGTACAGCGGTACATCCACTAGATATGTTAAGCTTCCAAAATTCAATGCTAATCTTTATAACTATTTAAGGCTTTAAAAACGTGATATGATTAGATTTCCTTAATAGCAGTACTTCTATATCATTCCCCTTTTAGGAGTACATGGACTCCTGATAAAAGGAGTTTTCTTAGACATTTTTACCCTATGTAAGGGACTAAGGGTACAGGGTCCAAGGTATATTCCACAGTACTTCCATTATTTCATCAGTATAATGAATAAACCCTGACTCAACAATAACTCTTACGGTTATCATTACCATACTTTGTATGGGCAATTACTCTACCTTGACCATACATGTGAACTCTAGAAAGTAGGACCAATAAGAAAGTTATGGAGGTTTTTTACAGGGGCAAAATGGCCTTTTCGCAAATTTTGGGTCCTAAAAAGGAATAATTAAAAGTGTCTTATTTCTGAAATACCGAAACATGTTACCCACTCCTAAATAATGCTATGTCCAAAAAGATATGGTAAAAGATTGGGACCTGCAAAGCCCAAGTAGGGGCCTTCATGCAAACTTCAAAAGCTGGTGCTCCACAAGCTACAGAGGCAGATCTCCAAGATCCCCATAAGGGAGGTCCGATTGCATTGGCGTTTGGAAGTGCAAGAAAAAGCACGCTCTTTTCGATTATCTCACTCTTTATGTGGTTCTCCAAGAGCTGAAATTTAACGTGTCATGTAGAAAAATCATGAAAACTAATCATTTATAGTTCTGCACTATTACTAAAGAAAAATCAAAGAGTACGCATAAAAACAGTGCAGAGGAGGTTTGCAAGACTTCCAAATTATAATTATGGTAACTAAATTACCAAGATCCAATGTAGGGAAACTCATTATGAAAAAAATTATTAAAGTAGCAGTGTAGCACATATTGTTTGTCCTATTAGTGAAAGACTACTATTGATCAAGTATCTCTCTTTAGTTCATTAAATCAAAATCCTGTTTGGTTTTGTACTTCTCTGGCCTAAATGATGACTTTAATTCTGTATGGAGTAGTTTTGAACTTCGAGGAATAAGATTGAGATTTTCACCCTCCCTGTTTACCTGATCATCAAAGCAGGTTTGAGCACTGCCTGACACCAAAAGGGAGATGTGAGCAGAACTACTGGTTGATACATCACATCGCATGGTCACAAGCCCACGGGTAAGTGTGCCAGCTTCAAGTGGTGGTGGAAGTACACTAGACCCAACATTTAGAGAAATATTAGAGACAATTGATAGTGAATCCCTACTAGAAGAGCTCAAAATTAGGGAAGATTGAAGAGAAAAATGAAGAAACCAACACAAGCCATTAAGCACAGAGGATAAAAACATAATATATGGTAATAAAAATGATTAGTGTCCCACATCTGATGTTTACCCAGTCTATATATAATTTATTAGTATGACACCTTTCAAAGACCCTTTTGGAGTGAGATAGGCCTAATTTAATACTCCCTCCGTCCCTTACAACTTTGTCATCTTTTCTTTTTTGGTTGTCCAAAAAACTTTGCCACTTTCCCTTTTAATCAATTAATTTGTGGTTCCTATGATTTCTCTCTCCTTTACACAAACCTCAAACACACAGTTTTTACTTTATTACTCTCCGTGTCAGTCAAACTTGGCAATGTTTTGAGGAACGGAGGGAGTATGGTATTGGAGTGTGGTCTATTGTGCTTTGTTTATATATTTGGTGCCCATGGTCCGAGGTAGCCTTTTTAGTTGGTTAGGCCCACTTCTTCACCCTTCAAATTGTCTAGTATGATTTGAGTTTGGATTGAGTGAAATTTGGATTGAGCGAAAGTAAAAGTATCCCACTTCACCAATTCAGATGTTGACCAAATCACCTCTAAAAAACATTTTCGGGTGAGTTAGGCTTTATATAAAAGGAAGGAATTAAAGATGATTGCAGATAAATTCATTTGCATCATAGATATGATTCATCTTTGGATAGAAATATCCATGATCAAACAATTGAGACAAACTCATAATGGGAGGACAAGTAAGAGAGAGTAGAAAATTGGACAATAGAGAGTATGAAAATAAGCATAATATCCTTGATGTGGCATACCTGACTTTGTTATGCAATTTGCTACCTCGGATCTGAACAAAGAAAAATAAGCCGGGATTGAGTAAAAAAAGTCATATATCTAATTATGAGAGCGACAGATTTACATTTCTCTTTTCTTTAAGCGAATAAAAATGTGTAAAATCTGGCTAAACACAATTTGTTTCATAATGGGTTTCCATACACACTGACGGACTGACCTCTATGCTCAATAGGGCAGTAAGGCCATTCTCCAGATATTCCAAGTGGTGCATGTCCTAAATGGAAATAAGCCGCTTCGCTTGATGAGTAACATATCCATAGCAGCCACCATGTCATATGCACACAGAAGAAATAGTAACAAATTTCGAAGACTACACTTTACCAATGAGCATGGCAATCCGCAAATGAGAAACCTAATGTTTGTGTCAACGTCATATATCTTTATGGAAGGAAGAGCATCAGATGAACTTTCTTCATCTATCTCTGGAAAAGGAGAATCTACCTTTGGAGGGTCTCCAAGAATTTGAGGACCTCTCTTAGCATCAAACTTTTGGCTGTTATCAGAGCAAAAAATGTTGTTCCGGACACAATAGAGCCTAAAGGAAGCTTGTGCTAGTTGAAAAGCATCCCATGTCAGGCAAGACGAACTGCAACGTACAGTATATAAAAAAGGTTGTGTTCCCAATTAGTTTTCTTTTTACGCGTCAATATATCATTTTGTTGTGTCTCATATTAGATGTTTACCAGTATCTAATACAAAGTATATAAGAAACCACCTCCTGAGGATCCTTTTGGTGTGAGTTAGGCCCATATGTACTTTATTTATTCCTCTTTCAGTTTTATGATCAATTTGTATGATGCAAGTTCCCACAATCTTATACTCTCAAAAGCTATTTAATGAAGTATGAAGGACATTAAATAGGAGCATATTAGTCTTTCACACATTTACTCCAATATCTTAGGGCTTCCTGAATATTTATGAAAACACCAAATGAAGAAATTATTTCATAAATGAGGTAGTAATGAATATACACTTTGGACCAAACTAATCTTGCATAAAATTACCTTTGTACAACTGAGAACAATGCATGGCGAAATTGGCAAGAAGCTAAGCAAGAAAATGTGGTATCCCAATATATCACATATGGGATTCCCTGCAAAGATATACGAAGTATTAGATACCAATGAAGCAACGAGAAACCGCTTAAAACCTTTAGTCATTAAATTAAGCAAGTTTAACTCAATACAGGCCTCTGCAATGACAACTGTTGAATCAATATAGTACCATTGAGCGAAGAGCCTTGGCCAACATTTCTCCATTTGGTACCTCCAAATAAACCTGCAGAAAGAAGTATTTGATAGAATAAGCAGTGATGGTCATTGACTTTCCCTATTTCTGGACATCCAAATATTGCATCTCTTTGTAAAATCCCTCAATAGCATAACACTTCCTTGGGAAAACAAAGGGCTTCTATGGTTCAGGAGTCCTAGAGGGGAGCGAAGGGTAAGTTTGATTTTTAATTCAGTAACCTATCTCAATATGAGTTTTAAACTAGAAATAACTATATGCTTTGTTAGACCATGCCTTTTTATGTAGTTTTTTTTTTATCTCAAACAAGTTACATGTAGAAATTATTAAAATATCAAATATCAATGTCATTCATCCCCTGTGTTTCAAAATCCTTGAACCAAACAATTCCTTAAAGTACTTGTAAAAAACATCAATCTCAGTGTCTGATGAAATGTATATATAAAAGAACATATGTTTTATCTCAATAAAGCATTTCAAACATAACGCAACTATTTTGAGAGGATCACACAAAGAAAGATGAAATTTTTGACGCTTAAGCAATGCATACGCATGGCACTAAAATAAAGTTGTAGAAGTTTAATGATAGCTTGTTCAATCAGAAATATGTAAGAAAGTTCATCAAAGGAAATAGATATTTAAAGACAAAGACTAGGAGTAGGAATAAAAGCAAGCTAACTACCGTTGTTGGTAATTTGGGGCCAAAAATTCCACATATGGCCTCCTCAGAAGACAATGTAAGACCTCTCCATACTAGCAACCCAACATCATCATTTGGAAGTTGTTCTCCTTGCAAAAAGACCATGTTTGGCTGCACTTCATCCAGAGAAGTACGAAATTCCTCTTTGCTTGGATCCTTTAGCACCTGAACCTGCATTTAGCCCACAATCATCACAGTGAAATTACGAGCTGATTCTTTTATAGTTGATAAAATAAATTTAACTCACACCTCCAAACGTCCAGATGAGACGATCTTAGGGAAGGGATAAGCATGCTTATCATCTTGTTGGTGATTATTTTGAGAGGTTCTTTCACAAACAACTGCAAGGAGACTGCAACAGTGTTTTGAAGTCCCTTGAGCAGAACACATTTGGGTGTTGAGCCCTTCCAATCTTTTACCAGCCTCTAAGACCTTCAAATTTCCCTAGCAGGAACTTCAAAATCAGAAGAAGAAAAAATCTACATCATAAACTCCATAGCTTCTCCGATTCCCAAAATAATCACAAGACTGGGAAAAAGCTACACACTCCAGTTCTCCTAAGCACAAGCATGCTAATATAAGGTTATACAAAATGACTCACTAGTTTTTGCTTCTTTTGTTATGAAGTAGCAATCACTTCATGCAATTTTCGATGCGATTGTCATCATGAGTCATCCTGAAACAGTCTCTCTATGTTTTAGTACAGGGGTAAGGCTGCGCAGATCCGACCTCCCTTATCCCACCGTTGGTGGGAGCGGGGAGCCATATACAATGCTTTGGTCCTCACTTTTTAGTGTTTATTAGAACCATCAGAACCTCGATCTGACAACCCTTAGTAAAAATATTAACCATTTTTATGCGGGTAGTTAGCATTTTTCTATGCATGTATGTTTGTGACTATGGGGTGTTTTTCTATACATGTATGTTTGTGAGTATGAGGGTGTTTGGAAAATGGCGTTTCAGCGAAAAAATGGCAGTTTGACCCCTTTTAGAATTTTCAATAAATGAAAACGTTGTTTGATAAATAGTTGTTCAGCCCTAGCGTATTTGGAAGAAACTGCTAAAAATGAAAACGCTGCAAATATGAGAGTTTTGAGTTAGTGTTTTGAAATATGGTGTTTTCTACTAATGTTTATGGTCAAACAGATAAATTACCAAACATCTTCTGACAATCCGCCAACTTATTCTGCTAGTCAAACCCACTGACTGGATCCGCTATTAACAACCCGAAAATATAACATACTATCCGCTAACCGCTAAATGTCAAACACACCCTATATATAGTTCACACAAATGTGTGTGTAGTGACTAGTGAGCACACACATAATGTAGGAACCAGAAATATACTCCCTTTGTCCCATTGTACACATATATGTCATCTTCTCTTTTTGTTTGTCTAAAAAAATTTGTCACCTTACATTTAAAGTAAATAATTTGTGGTTCTGCCTATTCGTCTCCTTCTTTGAAGTGCTCTCAACCACACAATTCTTGCTTTTCTTTCACGCTTTACCCAAACTTGGCAATGCTCATTGCACAAGTAATACTATGTACTTCGTAGTATGTTTGAAATAATGAAAATGCTAAGAGTACAAACTTACAAAAAACTTATAAACAGGAATGCTCATTGCACAAGTAATACTATGTACTTCGCAGTATGTTTGAAATAATGAAAATGCTAAGAGTACAAACTTACAAAAAACTTATAAACAGGTGATGTGACTATTGTAATGACTTTTGAGGTAAAGGTGATGTGGTGTGTTAAATAATGTGATGCTGCCACATAGGTCTTTTGTAAGACTTTTTGTAGGAGTGCATGTACCTCTAGCATGACTCTTGAAATAATTACATATATATTACTAAAATAGAGATTGATTACAAAGATGTGACTAGCCACTAGAGTAGTAATAGAATCATATTAGCTTATGTTCAATTTCTAAACTTAAGTTACCATGACACTACATTGTACGGAGTAGTAAATATTAGTCATATTTGTGTAAATAAGTTTTATTAGTAATATTTTTGAAAAAAACTAGTAGTTTGTGTGTCTATTTATATATATTTATATATATGCACTATGCAGAACAAAAACTACCAAAAAATCAGAAGATTAAAAACCTCAATAACCACCAATGGAGAGAATCTGCAGAGAATCTACCAATGGATAACGTATGGGAAGAAGTACTCACCGATGCAACCGAGGAATCTAAACCCACGACGGAAAAAACAGCAAGATCTACGCCGACGGGGGAGTAAATAATGAAGGAAACCCTTCACCTTTGTACAAACAGGAGAACAATTCGTTCGATTTAAGAATCCTCAATTCCTTCTTTAATTCTTTTACATATATCCCTCTTTCGTGTTATAGTATTACTATTACAGCGTTATATTATTATATTACTTTCATCTATATTATTAAAAAAAACTGCTACTCCTATTATCTTAGTGGAAATCATATACGGAGTAGGAATCACAATCAGCAATTGATGTAATCAAACTGCTTGCAAAAGATAAACGAAAAAGAAAAGTTTTCCACGAAGAATATTTGGGGGGGCGTGTCAGCTTTGGAGCAGTAAGAATTTCATCATAGTCAAACATTAACAACAAATCAAAAACAACGAATCTAAAAAATATCATGGTGAAGAAAAGGGGAGAAATTTTCATTTAACGAAAATAGAAAGGATTTTTGTTGGCTTTCCCGGAACTAAAATCGAATTCTTCTCATTTGTTACAATTATTGGAACATATATGGAGTCTTTTGTTGTTCAACCATACTAAGAAGAACAGATGTAGAGGTAGCATTAGAATGGAACTAAACAATATCTGAAAAGAAGAACCACAATGTGGGAAGATCATCGTCATCATATATCTTGGAATGTATAAAGCCAGCTGTGATTATAAGAGCAAGCGCATAAACTATTCGGAAGCTGTAAATGTTTAGTGGGAATGATTTATTCCAGCAAATTGGGATGAACATGAAAACTTTCCACTTCAGTGCCTATGTCCATAACTCACATAAGTTCGTAAACAGAAATAGTAAAATCAGTTTTGTGGTTTTTTTTCAAGAATAATGCTAAAAAAAATAATTACCAAATTGTTGTTGGGTTAAAAATATTCAACAATCTATTGTCACTTTAACTCTAGTTAAATTTGTAGAACCGCCGACTTCATTAAGTATAATTTTGTTCACCTCCTCATTTGGAGGGTGAACATAACCCTCAAGTATTTTAATATTAAAGGTACATCACATTGTCCTTTTCTCCCATTATGCCCATTCTCTTCTATATATACGTAGGAGTATATACGTATTCGGGAGTTTGTAGCTTGGTTTTAGAAATGACATCTAGGATGTGAGGTCACTTTAATTTGTGACCATATCCTTTTAATTTCTTTCTCCTTATTTTGTTAAAGTGTTAAACCATACGAAGTACTCGTATCATTTCTGCCCCCATCTTCTCAGTTTCTAAATTTCAGACATCCATATTTAGGGTTATATTGAATATGGATTGTGGTAGACTCATAAACTTTTAACAAGTTAATAGACTTTTAAATTCATATTTTAAAAAATCAATTCTATTGGCTTTAAAGTCATGGATAAATTTATAGACTTCAAAATGTCCATGATTTTTTAAATTCAGACTGTCACTGTCTATTGTAATTTTTTTTATCTAAATCGTCGCTATTGATTTGCTTTTCCACCTCCGTCACCCGAGATTGCCGCCATCGTGATTGGACTGATCCGCCACAAATCAAATAACTTTGATTATGCAAGAGAATTAGGGGAAATTAATTATACGTAGTATATATTAATTAGGGAAATTTGCAATTTTCATCCCATAACTTTGGGTTGTTTCCATTATTAGTCTCGTAACTTTAGTCACTTGCAAAGTTGGTCCTGTAACTAATTAATATTTACCATTTAAGGACTTTTTCTCTGAAAATTTCACTTTCCAGTGATAATATTCCGGAAAAGATGCCACCTGTGTTGAATTTTTCTGCCTGAAAGCATACATTCCGATGAAAAAGTCATTAAATTACAAACATTTATTAGGTACATGACCAAATTTGCAAGTGACTAGAGTTATAAGACCAATAACGGTATGAGTCGAAAGTTACAGGACTAAAATTGTAAATTTTCACATTAATTAATTAAATTAGGGATATAAATGTAATAATTAGTCCTACTTAAGGAAAATTAAACATATGATCATACTTTTGTGGGGGAAATGTAATGTTTTAGTCCTACCATGACATATGTATAGTATGATAAGAAACAATTAAATATATAAATGAAACAAATGTAGTTCATCTAGCAACGCAGAGTTCTACAAGAATAACTATTAAAAAGAAAACTCAAAGTTTCAAGAATGCTCAACCATTTCGATGTCTTTATAATCAATTTTTATTGTTATATTATACAAATCAATGAGTAAGAACATTTATCGTTACAAAAGCGTTACATTCATAGTTTTCTTTTTGTTCTTAACTTGTTAAATTTTGTATACTTATATACGGTTATATATTTAGTAATTTGAAATTATAATTTTATGTGTTAGTGGTTTAACGATTAAACACAGTAATAGTTAAAATATTTTTTTCTTAATTGTTAACTGATCGACGACGTATCGGAATTGCACTTATGTATATAATATTATCGATTTTTATATCAGTTCTTCTAAAACTTCCAGAGTTGAATCAATATGGGATTAACGGTTCTTCAAATGGTTCCTAATTTTCTTTCAAGAACTGGACGGATCTCACCCTTACATTTTCCTTCATAAGAAGACACATGAAATATCATTTTTTAAGTTTATCTTGTGTATCAGTATAATGTATAAATCTCCTCGTTCAACTTTATTTATTGTAAAATAATAACAAATCAAAATTTAATGTTCAAATCTTGTATATTGAGACCATCTTGGTACCTACCTCCTGACCAAACCGGTACTAGTCCAGGACTTGTTGACCGATTTGTGATTCCGGGTAAATAATTAGCCTAATCTGCAACTAGATCTATGCGTACTTGTGACGAGTAGAAGATAACACAAAAGTACATGGAATTCTTTGGTGAGGAGAAGTGACAATTGCATAAATTAACGTACTAAGAATGAGTTAAATTTTCACGAGAATCCATGAATTTAGAAGTCAATAACAATGAGCGAAAATTTGAATACACCTAAACTTTTATAGTTTTTAAAAATTTACATCAAATACCACTCGACTTTTGTAGACTTTTAGAAGCCCACATCGAATACTTTAAACTTTTACTCCCTACTATATATTGAAATTCAGTTCACTATAATACTACGAGAACTTTTTTTAACGTCAGAATTAGTTGAATCTGTTAAAATAAAATATGTTTGTGGCGGTTCAATAAGTTGAATATACTAAATTATTTAAAAAAATATTTAAAATATACTTATTCGATTATTTTTGTTAAAATCAAGATTAGAATTTGTATTACGAAGTATATACGATAGTCTGCCAAATTTAAAAGAAAAACGTTTTGCATCGTTAAAAAGTGACCGGACCACACCAGACCAGACCAGACTTAGATAGTTATACAAATACAAAGAAATCAGATCAGACCAGTTCAGACCAGACCAGATCAGATCAAACCAGACCAGACCAGCAAATTAGAGTCTAATAAAAACATCTTTAATCTGTAAGCCCGTAAGAGTGTAAGGTACTCCTCCGTATAAAACTAAAATGGCCCTCACTACCCCACTATGTCTAATCTAAATGAGTACACTACTAGCTAGTCTACTACTCAATACGAAAGATGTCTGGTTACCAACTAAAGAAGGGAAATCCGTATACTTTTAATATTAAAAAATTAGAGGGTTATGTTCACCTTCCAAATGGGAGGTGAACAAAATTAAACTCGACTTCATTGGCGCCTTATGCAAAATTAAAAAGTGACTTCCGTACTTTCAACGCAGCGCCCAAGGGAGAGAATAGCTGTAAAAAATTTGATGCAAAAAATATGAGACTAAGGGTATGTTTGGCACAACTAAGCTAAAAAGATACTTTTACGAGCTTTTTAGTAACTGTTAACTTTTAGTGACTGAAAAGATCTTAAAAAGAAAAGGTGATAGCTGTTTGGTAAAAAGCTGACTGTTTGATTTAGTTCGGTTTGGTATACAAGCTGTTAGGACTAATTTAAACTAAAAGTCACGAGCTTTTCTCAGATGCTACACCTGGTAGCATCTCAAAAAAGATCTTTTAATTTTTTAAAAGCTCTTAAAAAATGTCATGCCAAATATACAACTAGAGTCTTTTAAGGTCTTTTTAAAGAATAGAGAAACTAGAAGCTAGAGTCTTTTGTGTGCCAAACATAGCCTAATATTGGATAACTTTTTTATTTGTGCTCCGATTGTTACAAAAAAAATATCAAAATTTATAAATTTGTATTATCTTTTATATGAGACTAATATTGGATATATAAAAATAATAATTACAATTAGGCACTTTAAAAAAACTTGTTTTTAAAGTGCTATAATTTTTTTATTGGTACTCCCATTGTTATTAAAAATATATTAAAATTATAATTTTTTATTATTTTTCATATTACACCAATATTACATATAAAAAATTAAAAAAAAAATTAAACACTTCAAAAAACATATATTTTCAAAGTGTTACTTAGTATAACTTTTTTATTTATATTCCGATTGTTAGAAATAAGATATTAAAACTCATAATTTTTTATTATCTTTCATATGAAATAAATATTGCACATATAAAAGGATTATTATTTAAATATATTCCCAACTATCATCAAATTCTCAAATTTATCACGTACTTTCACTTTTGTTAAAAAAAAGACTCAAACTTCAACTTTTCTCACAATTACACTTCCAATGGATGAATTAGTAAACCTTAAGAATAAAAACATTATTATATTTCATATTTTTTCACTACTTTCTAGTTTTAAGGTTACAAATTTGTATTGCATATATCTTATTGGTATTGATAAAAATGTGTAATTTTGGAAAAACAAAAAAGGAAAACATAATTGTTGAAAAGATTAAATTTGAGTCTTTGTTTGATAAAAGTGAAGAATAGGATAAATTTGTGAATTTGATGATAGTTTGAGATAAAGGATGTTTTCTTTTGGATTGAAATTTGCTAGTCTGGTCTGGTCTATTTAAGTCTGGTCTGGTCTGAACTGGTCTGGTCTGGTCTGATAAACGTCTGGTCTCTGTGTATTTTATAACTGTCCAAGTCTGGTCTGGTCTGGTCTGGTCTGTTAAAGTCTGATCTGGTCTGGTCTGGGACTGAAAACAGTTCAAAAGAAAACATCCAAAATAGGCTAATAATCCCATATAAAAATATAACATAAAATCTATTAAAATCTACCCGTATTAATCTTTTCAAGAATACACCAAACTAGACTTAGATAAGCATATGATCTGTTCTATCCAATTTGTTTGTATCTTATCTGGTAGATTCTTAAACAAATCAAACATTGGCTTTGTAGGGGAAAATTTTTTTTACCATCATTTTTAAGCTATCACTTTCATTTATACCTAATGTTCAAGCTCTCGTTCATATGAGGGAATAATTCCCTCATATGTAGTGCTTTTAAGTATAGCGTAAGCCGGCTAACGGTTGAGTGAGAAGACCTTCTCTCTTATATGTAAGAGTTTTAGGTATAAATAAAAAGATAAGTTTGTTAATAATTGAGCGAGAGAACTTTGTCTCTCATATGTAGTTCTTTTTAAGTATATAAATTAGTCTAGCTAACAATTGAGGGGGGGAATTTTCTCTCCAACATGTAGCGCTTTTAGATATAATAAACCAGCTAACATTTGAACGAGAGAATTTTCTCTCTCATGTATAGTGTTTTTAGATATAGCAAGATAAGTTTACTAATAATTGAGCTCGTGAGTTTTCTCTCATATGTAGTGTTATTAGGTATATTACAAGATAAATTTGCTAACAATTGAGCGGGGAAATTCTCATATATGTA